TGGAGGGTCAGAGAAAAAGAGGAAGACCCCCAATGAGATGGATTGTCCAAGTGGCAGCATCAATGGACTCAAGTGTGGCAACAGTAGTGAGGTTGACCTGGGATCAGGCAGTGTTTCATTCTGCTGTGCATAAGGTCACTATGGGTCAATACCGACTCGATGGCACCTAACAACAACAACGCCATGTAAATATTCTACCTAAAGAAGAATTTCTAGTTAATGGTTCTGTTAGATGGAAAAATAAAGAAAAGGAAAAGAATATTAGCAAACATGCAAATTCTATTTCATTTCCTATTTTCCTTTCAAAACTGATGACTACAGTAACTACCTTAGTTAAGGTCATTAGAACATCATGCAGATAGTTTGAAGTATTACTACAGCCTGTATTTAGGGACTATGTTCAACTACACCTTTTAGATTGCCTCCATGCTGCCATTCTCCGATTTCAGAATGTAAGATGGTTTTGTCTGCTGTCATTTCATTTTATGAAAGTTATGAGCCATGTTAACCTTCAGAAGCTGTACTTCAAATTTACCTTTCTGTTGTTTATTTTCTCTGCTTTTATTAGTGATTAAATGTGCAATTTAATAGTCTGATGTTATTGAAATCAAATCTTACCCTTTGCTAGTAATGGTACTTTGGCAAACATAGCTTCAAGTTTGTTTGGTTTTTTCCTTTTATCTTTCCTTAAATCAAAAAAAGTGCTAGCTACATACATGTAACGAAGTTAGCTGAGTTTTGACAAATAATAAAAATGCACAAAATATGTTAGCTATTTTACATCATTATTCCATTCAAGTGTCTTCTCTTCTGAGTTATTCTAGAAGGATTTCATTTGAATGACCACCGTTTTGTTTTGTTTTAATCAGATGACTAAATAAAATGGATATTTTCTTATCATTTAATTTCAATAAAGTCCCCCAGAAGACTAGTTTTAGTCATTTCTTTAGTTTTATTTACATTTTTAACCAGTTGTTGTTGTCGTTAAGTGGCATTGAGTTGGTTCTGACCCACAGTGACCCTGTATAGGGTTTCCAAGGAGCAGCTGGTGAGCTTGAACCACCAACCTTGTGGTTCAAACCGACTTTGTAGTCCAGCACCATTAGCCCACAGCATCACACCAGGACTCCTTTGAACCAGTGGTGGTGGTGATGTGCCGTGGAGTCAGTTCCAACTCATAGCGATCCTGTACATGGTTTCCGAGGCTGTAAATCTTTACAGGAGCAGAATGCCTCATCTTTCTCCCGCAGAACAGCTGGTAGTTTTGAACTGATGACCTTGTAGTTCACAGCTCGATTCGTAACCACTACGCTACCAGAGCTCCTTTTGAACCAGTAGTCCTACTTTTATATTACCTCCTCTTTTTTATTATTAGGAGTCAAAAGTGCAGTACAAAAAGAATAAACAAACAATTGGTTGCCATCAGATTGATCCGAATTTATGACAACCCCATGTGTGGCAGATTTTATGCACTTCTGGAAGTATGTGAAATTCTATTCCTGAAGTGCCTAATGTTTTGTGGTTGTTGTTGATGACATTTGGAGCTAGTAAATGGATTACGACTCTCAGCAACCCTATGCACAACAGAATGAAACACTGCCAGGTCCTGGGCCATTTTTACAATTGTTGTTACATTTGAAATCATTGCTGTTACCACTCTGATAATCCACTGTGTTGTTGGTGGGGGGGGGTCTTCCTCTTTTTTCCCTTACCTTCTGCTTTTCCACGCAAGATATCCTTATCTGGCAACTGATCTCTCCTGATAATATGTCCAAAGTATTAGAGACAAAGTCTCGCCATTGACCTCTAAGGAGCATTCTGGCTATATATCTTCTGAAACAGATTTGTTTGTTCTTCTGATCAGTCCATGATACTTTCAATTTTTCTTTTTTCCAACATCCTAATTCAAGTGAATTAATTCTTATGAGGTCTAAAGACTCTTTTTTTAATCCAGATTCTCTGATTATTTTCTTAGTATACAGATTGAGTAAGTATGAAAGATACAACCCTGGTGCACATCTTTCCTTATTTTAAACCATTTAATATCCTCTCGTTCTATTCTGAAGACTGGCCCATGAGCACAATTAAGCATTACGGAGTACAAGTTCTTTGCAATGTTATCCATAGTTCATCATGATCCACACAGTCAAAAGTCTTTGCATATTCGATAAAACGCAAGTAGACATCCTTTTGGTACTCTCTTCTTTCAGCTAAGAATCAACTGATATCACCATTGATATCCCTTGTTTCACGTCGTCTTCTGAATCCAGTTTGAATTTCTGGCAGCTCCATGTTGATGTGCTGTTGTAACCGTTTTTAAATTATCTTCACCAAATTTTACTTGCATGCCCTATTAATGATATTTTTCAATGATTTCACATTCTGTTGGGTCATCTCTCTTAGGAATGGACACAAATATGGATTTCTTTCAGTCAGTTGGCCAGGTACCTGTCTTCCATTTTTCATGGCATAAATGACTATGTGACTCTAATGCTGCATCAGTTAGCTGAAATATTTCCATTTCTATTTCATAAATTCCTGAAGCCTTGCTTTTTGCCAATGCCTTCAGTGCAGGTTGGGCTTATTCCTTTGGTACTATCGGTTCTTGATTACATGCTACCTCTTGAAATGGTTGAACATTGACCATTTCTTTTTGGTATAATGAATGTATGTATTCCTTCCATCTCTCACTCTTTTTTGTTTGGTCTTTGTAAGAAGTAGTTAATTTTTAATTTATTAAAACTTTTACTTCAAATTTAGTTCTGTTTAGTTGTATATACATAACTAAAAGAACCAATATAATCTAATCCTCATTAAGAAACATATACAAGTTTTCCACAATGGGATTTTAATCACAGGCAGAGGTTGGGCTTGGAAATACATCACAAAGTAGATGACTACTTCACATCTCAAAATGGAGGACAATTAAGACATATTGTCTATTGGGGTCACGGTAACCTTCTGTTAAGTTGTGCCTACATCTTAACTGTTGCAGTATCAGCCTCATTTTGGCCATATACACACGAAGTGTCACTGCCTGGAGCAAGCCTTGCTACCTACATAATATTGCAGGGTATTAGGCACTCCAGAAGTCTGAACTTGCACAGTGGGATGGTATATCTCAGCAAATTCTCCAAGACATCAATGGAGACTGGATTTCCACAGATACTCAAGGTGTTGAACTGGGAGCAGTTGCCCAGGGCTGGCAGGACAAAGGTGAGCTGTGAGTCTGTGCTGTGAACCCACACCTCTTTAAGTCCAGGAAGCAGAGGATAGCTAGGGTTCTCTGAAGCAGAACTTAGAGGTACTCAAGATTTAAATTGGTCAGGATAACATCACTCAAATCCAGGTCCCTTAGGTGGCTGGTGCTGTGGCATGAGAAGAGGTATGCAAAGTCAGACTCCAAGAATAGGCAATTATTTATCCAGAGGACCTCCAAAGGGTTCTTAGAGCTACTGAACAATTGGTCCACATGGCCTTCTAGAAAGAGGACAGAGCCCAGGTGGAACTCCTGGAACTGGAGCAGATTGAGGAACTGAGAGCTCAGTTGGGTAATCAGCTTGTCTACCTCCTCTGCTTCCGGGTCAGTGGTGGAATTCCTGATGATTCCGCAGATATGGAGTCGTCTCAGATTAACCATCTGGCCCAAGTGAGGAGCAAATCTGACTGGGTAGACACATCCATCTGCAATACAATGCCAACTCTTTGATCTGGTCCAGCCACGTGGTTTTGAGGGTCTCCTTAATAATCCAAATTCTGGGCAGCATATCAAAATCCTCCAGCTTCTCACAACATAGATTCAGTTGGCCTTCTCTCTGCTTGACCCTATCAATGAGAAATTCATCTGGTCCAGGAATTCATCTAGACCAGTTTCTGGAATTAAACGTTTGTGAGCACCTCCACAGGGGCAAAGAACTGCTTCTCCTCAGAGCTTGAAACATTCATATTTCACCTCTTAATCCTTGACTGGATGGCCTCTGGCTCCTCTAGAGAGCACACAGAGGCATTATCCTGGGTTCCACACAATTCATCTAAGTTGGTTTGAGCATTAGCCCGTAAATCCAGCACCTTCAATTTGCATCTCCTGGTGAGATCTTCATAGGCAAATGAAGCATCCAATTCATCTACTGCAGAATTGAAGATATCCTGGTCTGCCTTCTGAATTGCTTTCAGAGCCCCCAGGGGGCAGTGGGTGAAGGACCAGGCTCCCACCATTGCCTTAACTGTCTGGTTATATCTTCCTTTGACAGCTGCCCTCAACAGAGGTGGGAAAAGTTGCTTGGGCAGCCAATCCAAAACAGTGATGACCTCAAACTCATCTTGCAGTAGGCTCTGGCTGACAAAGTCCAAGAGGCTAGGTGGGTTGAATCTGTTTATGCTGATGAAGATGTTCCAAAAGGAACTCCAATCTGTTAATCTGGGTGGGTCTGCACAGACTTCAAAGAACCTCCCCAGGTTCTGGGTCCCTGTTTATCTCCTCAGGAATCTTTATAGACCTGATGGGTCAAAGTCCTTCCATTTTCAACTTGCTGTTGTAGAGGGTGTGGCGTCCCAAGTCAGTTGGCAGATTGGAGATTTCTCTAGGAGCTGATGAATGCTAATGAACTGTTTGAACAGCACATCAATTGCAGTTTGTTCTGGTCGTTAGTTGTTTAGGTCAGCCATATGCTTTGATGGCATTTAGCTTCCTTAATTCTGAAGATCCAGAGATCTATGATGGCAGGCAAAAAATAGCATCCAGAGCAAAGATTGATGAAGAGCTTTGAAATAATCTCTTTATATAATGGAAGCAGGCCACACCCCCAGGAAAAGCCTTTCAATTGAGTGGATGATCATAGATGATCTCATCATACAGGTGACTGTGTTATAGCAAATCTCATCATCATACCATTTTTATCATCATCATTATTATTATGGCTTATCTATTATAAATATCTAGGTCAATTTAGATTATTTTTAAAAAGAATAATGGTAATGTAATGTTAAGGCCACCCTCGTCTGTCAGGTTTTCATACTGTGGTAACTTGCGTGTTGTTGTAATGCTGGAAGGCATGCCAGCAGTATTTTAAATACAAGCAGAGGCACCCATGGTGGACAGGTTTCTGTGCCTTCCATCATATTATGCTTTATGCATCATTCAATATCTTTCCCATAGAATCCTTCAATATTTCAAGTCCAGGCTTGAATTTTCCCCCATTTATTTCCCATTTGATTTGCTGACTCCAGGTCTTTGCATATTTCATTATAATGCGTTACTTCTTGAGCTATCCTTTGAAATTTTCTGTTCAGCTCTTTTACTTAATCAGTTCTTCTGTTTCTTCAGTTTCTCTATGCTCAAGAGCAAGTTTCAAAGTCTCTTCTAACATCCATCTTGGTCTTTTGTTTCTTTTCTGTGACCTTTTGCTTTCTTCATGTATGATGTTCTTGATATTATCTCACAGTTCTTCTGGCCTTTTGTCATTAGTGTCTAATGCATCAAATCTGTTCTTGACATGGTCTCTAAATTTCTAGGTCATATTTTGGTTTTAATTGACTTGTCTTAATTTTCTTCAGCTTCAGCCTGAACTTGCATATGAGCAATTGGTGATCTATTCCACAGTCAGCTCCTGGCCTTGTTTTGACTGATATCAAGCTCCTATACCATCTTCTCCCATTGTTTTTATTGTTGTTATTGCCATAAAGCTGGTCCCGACTCATATCTACCCTGTATAGGGTTTCCAAGGAGCAGCTGGTGGGTTTGAACTGGACTTTGTGGTTAGAAGCCACACCAAGACATCTTTAGTCAATTTGATATTACATGTACGGGAAGAGGTGGTGTGCATGTGTATAGTCATCTTTTATGTTGTTGAATAAAGGTATTTGCAATTAATAAGTCACTGGTCTTACAAAATTCTTTCATGGGATCTACAGCATCATTTCCATCACCAAGACCATTTTTTCCACCTATTGATCGTTCCTCTTTGTTTCCAACTTTCCCATTCCAATCAGCAGTATTTATCAATGCCTCTTAATTGTGTGTTTGATTAATTTCAGGCTGAAGAAGTTGGTAGAATTCTTCAGTTTCATCATCACTGACTTTAGTGTTTGGTATGTAAATCTGAATAATAGTTGGTGTCCTGGTGTGGTGCTGCAGGATAATGCACTGGACCACAAACAAGGTCTATTTGAATTGCAAGGTCGGTGGTTCAAACCTACCAGTTGCTCCTCAGAAACCTTATACAGGGTCCTCATGAGTTGCATTCAACTCAGAGGCATTTAACAGTTATAACTGGTCTTTCTTGTTGTTGTTAAGTGCCATCAAGTTGGTTCTGACTCATAGTGGCTCAGAATAAGGATCAAAGGAGCAGCTGATGGGCTTGAACCACCAACTTTGTAGTTGGCAGTCCAGTGCTTATCCTATAGTACACAAAGTGGATTGTACTTCAAGATAGATCTTGACATAATCTTTTAAATGATTAATGTGATGCCATTCTTCTTCAATTTGACATTCCCAGCATACTAAACCATATTACTGTCATTCAAAATGGCCAATACCAGTCCATTTAATCTCAGTAATGCCTAGGATATTGATCTTTATGCATTCCATTTCGTTTTATCGTTCCAATTTTCCTAAATTCATACTTCATACATTACATGTTCTGTTTATTAATGGATGTGTTTACAGATGTTTCTCCTCAGTTTGAGTTGTGCCACTTCCTCAAATGAAGGTCCTGAAAGCTTCACTCAGAGGTCACATCATTATGGTCTACTACACCTTGAAGAGACAGCTCTTCCATAGTCCTCATTTGAGTGCCTTCCAACCTGAGGAGCACACTTTCTGCCTCATTATCTGATGATGTTCTGCTACTGTTCCTAATGTTATCTTTTTCCGTCACTATATCTGACAGTGCTTTGCCGCTATTCATAAGGTTCTGCCTCTTCTTCTTCCTCTGTCTTAGTCTGGAAGCTTTGCTAAAACCTGTCCACCTTGGGTGACCCTGCTGGTATTTAAAATATCAGGGGCATGGCTTCCAGCATCACAGCAATACTCAAGCCAATATGGTATGACAAACTGACATACAAGTGGTTGTGCCTAATGTAAACATAAAGTTGTCTTGGCACAGATCTGTATACAAATCCTTTAGACCAAAATGTTAACAATATAGATATCTAAAGGAATTATATAATTCTTAAATTGTAAATTCTACAGTTGTTGTTGTTAAGTGCCGTCGAGTCAGTTCTGACCCATAGTGACCCTGTACAGGGTTCCCTAGGAGCAGCTGGTGAGCTGACCTTGCAGTTCAAACAGCTTTGCAGTCTGGCACATTAACCCAGAGAGCCACACAAGGACTCCAAATTCTACAGGGGCATGTACTAATTCTTCTGAACCTTATGTCTCCCATCACCACCACTGAGGGTTTGATATTCAAAGGCAAAGGCTAGGAAAAGCAGCAGAAATTACAGTCCATCAAAATTGCTTGTCATTCATATCAACTTAGAAAAGCCACCAGGGCTGTTAACTGCAACATCTCCTAGCTATGGAGTTCAATATTGAAGCAGTTCAGATGTTACAACCACAGAAACCATGTGAATTCTGACAAAGTTACTCTGCCTTCTCAAGACATGGCAGACACAACCAGTGCTAAGGATGATCTCCAGCTCCTTACCTTTTGCAGCACCTTGGGCTAATCTAAGCCTGTCCCTCAAGACTCTGCTAGGATCTATAATAACCACCTTCCTGAGTGTGAGTTCTCTATAGGAGCAAAACCAGTAAAGCATATAGTCCTGGTGTGGCATTGTGGGTTTATGCACTGGACTGCAAGGTCAGTTGGAACTGCAATGTCAGTGATTCAATCTCACCAGTTGCTTCTTGGAAACCCTATACAGAGCCTCTATGAGTAAGAACTGACTCGATGGTACTTAACAATGACAACAAATGTGTGTGTGTATTTACTTCCAGGAAATTCCTCATGCAATTGTGGGCTAGGAAGTCCCCATCTATGGGTCAGGTAGCAGACTGAAGACCTCTTCTGGCTCACATATGTGCAGATCCTGATGAACCCCAAATCTGCAGGTTAAACAGAAGTCTAGAGGTCTCTGTTGGGTCATGGGGTTGTTAGAATTGGTGAATCCCAAATCTGCAGGTCAGGTGGTAGGGTGAAGATTTATGCAGAGTTACATTCCAAGAATAAGAGGTCGCTATGAGTGAGTACTAACTTAACAGCACCTAACAACACCAACAACAATAACCATAATTAAAAGATATCAATTCTTCTTTGTCTTTCTTGTTTATCCAGTTTCCCTATGACAAAAGGCAAATGAAAATACCATGGCTTGTATCAGGCTCACCTGAGTCTTAAAACTAGCATCATAGCTTTTAAAACTTTAGAGTTCTTTTATAGAAGTACTGCTTATTAGAAGGGTCAGAGAAAAAAGAGGAAGACACCCAGCAAGATGGATTGGCCAAGTGGTAGCGTCAATGGGCTCAAGTGTGGCAACAATTGTGAGGTTGGCCCAGGATCAGGCAGTGTTTCATTCTGTTGTGCATAAGGTCTCTATGGGTCAGTACCAACATGATGGCACCCAACAACAACAACAACAACAACTAATGAGAGGAGTTTTGGTGTGGCACTGTGGGCTAAGGCATCAGTCTGCAAAGTTGTTTGAACTGCAAGGTGGGTGGTTCAAGCTCACCAGCTGCTCCTTGGAAACACTATACAGGGTCACTATGGGTTGGAATCGACTCGACGGCACTTAACAATTAGAACAACTAATTGAGAAGAAAACTTTATGGCCTAAGAAGCAGCCATCAATTGCTATTCAGTTGATTCTGATACATCATGACCCTATTTGTGTCAGGGAAACACTGTGCTCCATAGGATTTTCAGTGGATGATTTTTTGAAGGTAGATGGACAATCCTTTCTTCAGTGGTACATTGGGGTGGGGTCAAATTTCCAAAATTTTGGTTAGCAGCCAAGCAAATTAATCTTTACATCAACCAGAGATTCTAAGAAGTATGTTGTTTTTATTGTTTAGTGCCATCAAGTCCGTTCCGACTCATAACCACCCTGTATATGATTTCCAGGGAGCAACTGGTAGATTTGAATTGCCAACCTTCTGGTTAGTAGTCCAATGTTTATCCTACAGCACATCAGGACTTCTCCAAGAAATATGGTGGTGATAATGTGCCATGGAGTTGATTCTGACTCATAGCGATTCTTTGTTGGGTTTCCAAGACTATAAATCTTTATGGGAGCAGAAACCTCACCTTTTTCTCACAGAGCAGCTGATAGATTTGAACTACTGACCTGGTGAAACAACCCTAATCATAACTCACTATGCTACCAGAAGTATAGACTCAGCCAAAATATTCATCGATCAGGAACTGGTGTGACATT